TATCCCCTGTGTGCCTTGTCGACTCAGTCGATAACTTCCTATATAAAAATATTAGTGTCAGAGATGGTATACATAAAAACACAAAGCAGTGGTTTGAATAAACAAAGTGACACAGAGACACTTTCTGACGCATATTCGCCTATTTTACAGTCGCTATCTCCACATTGACACCTTCCTCTTTCCAATTTCCTATTATTTCCAAATCCCCTCTTCCTTCTATCCCCACTTATTTCCCCCTCTACAATATTTTGTCTCTCCTTGAAAAAACTCGCTCACTTTTGCTTGACTTTGGAAGGAAAAAACATGTACCGGATATCGCAGAATGGCTTAATATAATTTTGTAATATTTTAACGTTTTACCATCCTCTTTGTATTGGATATGAGGTATGTAATTTTATACTTAAGGTAGATTAACTAGTTTTATTTCACTTTATATATTTAACGCGTTACATACAGTGATAACATTTTTTGACAGATCACATAAGAATTATTGGAGTTTGCGAATAATACTTTTACTAAATATGAAGACCACGGAATTTAAAATTTGGACTGCGATTATGTAAATGCGGATTGTGAGCGTATCAAGTTATTGTAATGGTTTTAATTTATGTTAGGCATTAACTAATTTATAGTAACATTGAAAATGACTCGTTCGGGGTCGAAACGTTTGTTCTTCAAATCGTCATGAAATTGTGAAATTAATAAATATATATTTTGGAGTGATACAACACCTAAGCTTTGGCTCGTTTGTCCTTTTTACTTCATTTATTAATATTATTTTAATTTGAAGCCTTGACTTTGAAATTTATTTTAATTTTAATTGAAATCGTATACATTTAATAGTTTATTCATATAAATATATTTATTGCATAAAATATATTCAATTAGATAATTTTACTCTTAAATTTTATTCATTATAACAAAATCATTATTATCTTTTTAATTATTTAATATTTTTGCGGAGGTAAATCTATAAAATTTTTAAATAAGTAATATAATTTGTTAAATTATAAAAATAAGAACACTTATTTTGTCGACATTTATTTTCCAAATCGAAAACTGTTATATTTAATACAATTAAATGTCATTAAATAAACATTTACTACTCTTACTTTGTTGTAAAATTTTTCATTATTTTTAAAAATTTAAATAAAACCTATGTTACTTTCATAAAACCTATACAAGGTGTCCCAAAATAAACTTTTGTCCTTAAAATGTCATATTCCTGACACAATTCTGAGACGATTTTTCCTTTACCAAAATTTTATCCAAAGCTTAGTTTTCAAATTATAACGAGAAATAGGTAACAAATTACGCGTATGGATGGTAGACAGGGGTGGCGCAACTTACTGTCTGACGCAGGCGGGGCTTTCGCGACGATCAGCTGACTGCTACACGCGCGAATACACATGACATTTTAAGGACATGAGATTACATTCTCTCTTGCACGCACACGCACGTGCACGCGCACGCACGCGCGCACGCACGCACGCACACACACAAATTACCTTGTAAAGATTCGATGACTCGTGATGTAGCTTCGTGAGAAAGACGGAATTTCCATTTCGATGGACCACGTACAGCTCCAAATAAACGTTTATTTTAATAAATTTTTGTTTGTTTTAATGCAGACGTTATCACTAACTGAGACAGATCAGATTATTATTTAGTTAATTCCTTTTTTTACATAACGTGTCATTTCAACATTTCACACTCGATTCACATATTCGATTCACATACGAACAATTTACTGGGAGAAAACGCGAAAAATCTACTAATGCATCTATCGGTTACGTACTTTACAATCACTGTCGATTAATTATCCGTCCACTGAAGTACATCACACAGAAGAAACACACGGCGATTTTTTATTAATACACGACCCGTTTACTCGAGGATAGCAAGCAGTCGACTGATTTTAATATCAAATTTATTAGTTAATTATTATCAATTCGTATCGATTAATTATTTGTCGACTAAAAAATCACTCGAAGAAAGAAATACGCGCACAATTTATTAACACACGACGATTTACTGACACACGAGATGTTCACCCGATGATAGCAAGCAGTCGACTGATTTTTATTGGTTATGTTTGTAGCGCTGTCTGCGCTGTCGAAAGGCGAACATGTGTTTAGTTGAAATCTCACAATCAGAGCGCGGCAAATTCGACACAGAGTGCATTGAACTTAACGATGAAAACGTGAAAAAAAGAAAAGATTTAAATATTAAATATTAACAACTTATTGAAAAAAAAACAATATTATACGGTATTACATGAACGCTCATGTAATGCCGTATAATATTGTTTATATTCCACGTGCATGTATTCGGTGCTATTCGATGCCTGTGCGGAGGTGAAGAATGATAGTGTTTATAACCTACAATTCGAACCAGCTATTTTCACTCCCAGCGGGAGTTAATGTCCCCTTTTTGTAAATGAATGTACTGTTTTTCACTCTCGCTCGAGAGTAATAGTAGTAAAACGACGACGTAACGACGCCATCTGGTGAGTCAAGTTATTGTACATGGGTAGTATACTATGTTACTTGTAAGGTACTCTTTTTTTGAGTGCACGAATAGCACCGAATACATGCACTTAGAATATAAAATTACGTATGCACCACGAGAAGGAACATGCCGTCTGTCAATGGACAGGCTGATGTCTTCGAAACTCAGATACGGCTCGTGCTCGTGCTCCCCATTGAAAAACGACCTTCCTTCCCTTGATGCATAAATAACTATTATATTCCACGTGCATGTATTTGGTGCTATTCAATGCCTGTGCGAAAGCGTTGAATGATAGTGTTTTTAACCTACAATTCAAACCTGCCACTTTCACTCCCAGCGGGAGAAAATGTCCCTTTTTTAATTCCCGGCTTGAATGAATGTACTATTTTTCACTCCCGCATGAGAATGAAAGTAACTATTTTAATTCCCGCTCAAAAGTAAAACGCAATGTAACAACGCCATTTTGTAAGTCAACTTATTCTACATAGGTTAGTATACTGTCACGCGCGGAGGGGCGGTCGCAAAAATTTTTACGAAAATATTTTGTTATATGCATGTGTCGGAGATAGCGGCGCGTGCTTCTACCGCCGCGTCGCGAGTTCCGCTCGCGTCTGCGAGAAGGCTACCACAGTGCCCCCTTGATCCTCCCACGGGCGTTCCCCAACTCGTGCTAGAAACGCCAGGAAACTCGACAGAATTCCTGGACACGCGTCGCATGCGCTTATTGCGCGAGGGGTCGCGAGCGGCGTGCTGCACGAGTGGCACTCCTCGAGGTTACGGGGGAGACCAAGGTACGTAGTGGCGGGCCGCGCGATAATATGAGGACTTCTCAGCTGGCGGGAGTCCCCGGTAGCACGCGTCGCACTGGCCTATCTGATCTATGCGATGTAGGTAGAGCGTGGGGTTAACGCACACCGCGCTGGCAACCCACGTGGCAAACACTGCGCTCGGCGTCGAAAGATCTCGTGTAGACTCGGTATTGAAAGGCGGGCACATACCGGAATTCAGCGTGTATTAAAATAATTGCGGCTCGAAATTATTAGCAACGAATACGCGAGTATTGCCGTGCGAGAGGGGAATGGCTTATCGCGGGTAAAAGAAAATGATGGTTACCTCGTGGCGGGATGTTCGGCAGGAACTAGAGTCCCGGTACTTCCGCCTCGGCAAGATGGCGGGGGTGCGTGGCTTGGGCCGTCCGTTGTTCCACGCTGGCAAGATGGAGTCTACACGTGGCGTCTCGGTGATTCTACAGGAACTCGGCTTCGATTCGTTCACTATGTTTCGTTTTCACTTCTCGAACCTTCGCACCGCGGAGTTTATCGCGTGGGAAAGGAGAGTGAAGAGAGGCGGGGACGATAAAGAACGTGAAATACGATCTCGATCTTATATGAATTGAATATATTTCCTCCTAAATTACAAGGTTTCGAATTTAATATGAAGGAGTTGTGGAATTGCTTGTTCACTTGAACATTTACAAATCGTTAGATGATATTTACGCAAATTATTTATGCTCGGCAATAAACGCTAACACAATTAATCTCAAGTATTAATAACGATTATTCTAATATTTGGTAATACCACTTAGTTAAATTTAGCAGGAGAGATCGATTTGGTAATTAAGTTTGAATTTGTAATTGATAAGCTTACGATTAGAAATGGTACGTAGGAACAGAACTAGTAGGAGTTAGAGTAGTAGGCACGTGGCACTTAGCTTACGTGATTCGATGCGCTCGGGTAGGACGCCGGAAGGAGACAGTCCCAGGGGGCTCTTGTTCACTTGAGGGCCGCCGTCTCTTCTCCCTACTCCTCCTCCGCAAATCCGGCAAGGCGCGTTCGCAACGCCTCGGCGGGGAAACGAACGGCAGCGCCCTCCAGGGACTCGTTCTAATCGCTGCGTGTGGACTTTGGGCAAAGGTTACTAGCCATGTTCGCGAAAAATAATCCCTGGAGCGCGCGTGTCGGTTGGCGTCACGCTAAGGACGTGACAATACTAAATGTCTATATGTATTGTGTTCAATGTATCCGGGCC